CTACAAGGAGCCTGGAACAATAGCTCTGACCATCTCATCCCATTCAGAGCCCTTCTTTCCACAATTCTGTGGTTATGCAAATTAATATTTTCCCAGGACACCAAAATCTCAATGCTTTTGACATGGAATTAACTATTTTGCAGAAGAGAATGCTGCTTCACTCGATTAACTGTAGTCTAGCTCTTAAATTACCTGCAAACTACCAGGTAATTTAAGAGCTAGACAACGACAAAAGTTAGGTGCCTCCTTGCTCCTTGGCATGCCAGGATGATGTAGATCCTTGACCTTAATTCCCCAGAAACTCAGACTTGGATTAGAATTCCTACCTTTTGCACTAATGACAGGAAAATGAGGTTTTCAAGCTTGGCAGATCCCAGTTGCTACATAGTTGGCCTATACCAGGAGCAGTGCTGCCATGCCAATATCTTGGTTCTGTTCAGAAAAAAAACAGAGGTGATAAGGACAAATGCAGTTTCAAGTGTGTTGTAGGTCTCAAAACAGTCAGTAGGAATTTCAGTTATTTCCTCCCATAGATTTTCTTATCCCCACAATCAACAAATGCTCACACCAAGAAAAGAACTAGTGGGAAAAAATAAAAATTAAACCGTGCATTTGTTTATGCTTTTTCCCTCAGGAAATTTGCTCAAACAATCCCTCGTCCTTTCTCTGTCCGGTACAATCCCTACACACAGAGGATTGAAGTCCTGGACAATGCAAAGCAGCTGAAGAACTTAGCTGACACGATCAACAGTAAGGAACTGCACATTTGTTACCTTCAATTCCTCAAAACTTGGGTCAGAAATAGGAGGCACAAGGCAGATTCCATCTGGCTGCATTTTATGCTCTGAGCCTATCCAAGATAAGGCAGCACATATCTCCTTTCTCATGAAAAAATTAATTCTAGCCAAGCTCTAACAAGCATTTCCACTTGACTGTAACTTGCTAAATGTGAAAAACCCAGATTAGGAAATGGCAGATGGCCTTGAGGTGGATCCTGGCTGTTTTCAGTAAGGAAGAGAAGGAGAAGCCTGGCTTTGATCACATTTTCCCCCTCACATTGGCTAGCCTGCTGAGAGCCAGCTCCTCTGCTGCTGTGAGCAAAGAGATGACTCTGCAGACACAGGTCCAGTAAAACCCTAATAAACGTGTCCAGTTCAGCATTTCTGTGCTCACCTTGTTCTGTAAGAGAACAGCTATAAAGGGAAAAAACCACGCAGGAGTGTTAGAATGGGCTGGTTCTGGAATTAACTGCTCTGATTATTTCCTTTGCAGGTGAGATTGGGATCCTTTGCAACGCCCTCCAGAAGATCAAATGAAGATTTGCTGTAACTTGCTCGTGACTAGAAGCTGCCAGTCTTGATCTAGCCTCAATCTATTATCTTCCAGTGAACTGCATCAATAATTATGTTATATATCTTAATTATTAGAGATTAGCAGAGAAACAGACATCTATAGGTGACTCTCAACTCTTCTGGCCTTCAGACACCAATCCATTTTTTTTCTCACTAATGTATAAAAATTATAAAATTATTATAAAATTCCTGGGAACCTGGGGGAAGTCTGCATATGTTTTGTGCCAAAGGTTAGCAGAAGGAGATCTTCACCATGCAGAGCATAATCTGCTGCACCTGTGAGGTCTGGGACCGGGGATGGGATGTCAATGATGACCAGAGTGATCCACCTTGCCTTTTCTCACAGTCACTCTCCTCTCAGTGCCTCCCAGTTGTCCAAGGTTCCCATGGATCTGGAGCTCTCCACCTTCCGGGGTATGCGAGGAGATCTGCCAGGGTACAAAGGGAGATTTCTCTTAACAGGCATACTCACAGTGCATGGCTGATGTGTGAAGGCTACATTTTTTGTCTGTGTCCTTCCCTGAGAGGTGTCTCTTAACTTTCTGGTCTCACAGCCTAGAAGGTGGATACCAGCACCTGGAAGTGGAGAGGAAGTGCCTTTTATAATGCAGCCTGAAGCCTTCCAACTCCTAACCCACTGTGTCCATGGCTAGAGTCCCCACCAAAGCCATGGAAGGCCTGGGTCAGCTTTGCCCCAGTCCAACTGCCTTCAAACCCAAACATGTTATCTTTCAAGACAAGTCCTAAATAATGACACCTTTTTGTATCCCCACTGCCCATCTGAGCTCTAATCTCCTTTTTTTTTCTTTTGGTGGAAGCAGTTTTATTTGTCCTGGAGTATATATCAGCTGTGCCAGCAAATGGAACCTGAGGTGGCTCCAGCTTAACAGCTGAGCGTGGAGAGAGAAGAGTTTTGCTGTTCAGGGAGCTCTTTCTGTATTTATCCAATAAATTTCACTCAATCAGCATTAAGTGCCCTTGGACTAGCCCACATTGTATAATTCTTGTAGCTCCCTGCTTGGAGGGGGGATCTCATCATTGGAACATTGGAGCAGAATGGAGCAAGGCAAAGCTGAACTGCATTTCCAGCTTGAAGTAATTGTGCATCATGACACTAACATGGCTCAGGGGTCACATTTCTGTCAGAAGATTGAAAGATGGAGAGGGATTTGAAAGCCCACGAGTCTCATACCTGTGATAGTACTAATTTTGTATTTATAGTTTGAAAATCAATATGGCTTTCATGTAAGCATCATCCTTTAGGAAGATAGAAAATACAGTTCTTTTCATTATATATATGGTAGGTAATAACATTAATTTAAGGACACCAGTTGGAATCCTTTTCAATAGACGTATATTTATGCAAAATGGTATCATTTTGGTGCTTTGAAGTAACCTTTTTATCTCAGTATCTTTTTATTCCTTTTTTTCTCATCACAATGTCTTTCTAGATCTTTCAATCCCACTTGACATGTATTTTCAGTGTGAAAGTAGCCCATATTTTTCTCTCTTAATATAATAGGACCCATGAGGTAACTGTATACTACAAAGAGGCAATTTCATCCCAAGGGTAAAGTCTTTCAAACTAATCCTCAGACAGCTTTCCAAGCTCCTCTGCTTCTGGCTTGAATGACAGCAGCAGTAGTTCTATAGTGATATTGAGAGCTCAGGATTCATGACTTTCTTTTATGTGCAAGTGGAATAGTTAGAGAATATTGGAATATTGATGCCACATGTCTGATTCTCTGTGCCTTAATACAGGTTTAAATGAGCAATAGCTCCAGCCAAAGCATCATAGCATGGCTGCTCAGCAAGAGAGATGAGCAAAAATTAAATGTTCAGCATTTTAAAAGCAGAGGAAATGTATGGAAAGTAGATTTTCTTGCAGAACAAATAATCTTGTACCTAAGTACTTTAAATACTACAAATAAATCACATTTTAAATAGTACTCCTTAATGGGCGACTTCTTATTTTCTTGTCTAAAGTTCCAGCTGTGTAGGAAAGGTTTTTGCATTATTGGACTGGTGTAAATCCTCCTTGTATGGTAAGCATCCAAATCAACCAGAATTAAATACTCAGGTAAGAGATAATACCCATCTCAAGTGCTCCCCAGGACAGAAAAAGGCTCTCCTGGGCTGGTTGACAGTCACTCATCCAGACAAGATTATGGGATTCCCTGATGTGTGCCATTACTTAGAAATGCACAGCCAAGCCCAGCTTCCCCTACATTTGCATACTCCAAAGTCTTTGGGTGCAGCTCTGACTAACCTACACCAAGCTAATCTTTTAGGTAACCTTCCTCACTTCTATCCCACTGTGATCACATTTCTTGGTGTCCTCATGCCCAGTTCAGTTCCAGGTGATCAAAGAAGCTTTTTGTGAGGCTCTTTCCTTCACAGTGACCTCGGCCCATGTCAATGGCTGTGATGGAGGGACACCAGTCTGCACTGGGGGACACCTCTGGGTATCTTGAGATGCCTACATCTGACAGCAGTCTTGGAAAAGGGACATTTTAGTCCCCCAAAAATGCAGAAATTGTTGAAAAAGGGATTAAGCACAGGAGCAGTCCACAGGAATGCATTGTTTTTAAAACTCCCTCTGCTGCTTCAGACCATGCTGGCCGCTCTCAAAGACATTTTGATGTTCAGATGTAACCATCTAAATTAACCTAAATAAACTAAAAATATTAATGTTGCATCCATCTCAAATGAGTGGCGCTCTGCTCATACAGGATAAAGATACCTGAAATGGTACCAGATAAAAAAAAGGGCAAGTTGTTTGTGGTGATCAGATGTGGCCTTCTCCTGTACCAAACCTTGCCACCACTGCTGCAAAGAGAGGCCAGAGGGGTGGTCTGATCTCTGGACCTTCAGGATGACCTTCACAGGGGCTCTGGCGCACTGTAACTTGAGGTATGAAGATATGGGTGCTCATATCCAGAAATAATTCTTTTTATGTCAAGTGTAAGGGAAGGGAAGATGTGCCTGCCCTGTCAGGAGCAGAGTTAAATCCCCCTGGAACTCATCCTTCCACCCACAAGAAAGATGTGACCCTGGTCTTTTTGAGAGCCTATTTCACTGGAGATAAAATGGTGACAGAAACAAGTACCAAGGGAGGAATGTAGCCTGGGGGCAGCACTCCACTCTTGGAGGGGTAGGATAGAACAGGTTCAGATCCTGTGGGTAGGAAAGGCTCAGAAACATGCAATGGATTCTGACTCTGCCTGAAATCTCTCTGGCACTCTCAGATCTCTGTTGTGCAGAGGAGACAACACCCAGAATGGACTATGATTTGGGAAGAAAGCCCATTTGTTCACTGGGGACACAGACAATACAGAGAGAGTCCCAGTGAGGTGAGACAGAGTGGGGATGAAGGACAGTCCCAGACTCTGTGCTGGTCAGGCCAGACTGGGAGATGTGAATGGACCTCAGGCTAATCGATTGCCTCTCCACAAAGAAACCTCTATCCAGGGCTGAACAGCCTGCAGACACCTTCAAACAGAGCAGGAGGACTGCACTTTGAAGTCCCCAGGGGAGGAGGGCCATCTTGGCTCTTGCGCACATCCTACGCAGGCGGCTTCCCTTGATGTGCCTGGCACGGCCACCATAAATGTCCCTACACCCAGCAGCCAGCCTGTGTCCCTGCTCCTGGCACCTCTGAGCTCACCACACACTGACACACTGCTTCTGCAGTCCCACCAATTCCCCTGGCCATTGCTCCCACGCCCACAGGCAGCTTCCATTCAATATCTGGCTGCTGCAATCCACTCCCCTATCTCCCAATGAAGACTGATTTGGTGGGCATGTCAGGCCCAAAAGAAGAAGCCAGCAAGGAGAAGGAGATGTGTGGCATACAGTCACAGAACAGCCAAGGCAGCCTGGACTCCAACAGGGAGGATGATGGAGAGTCTCTCATCCTGACCCTCATGCTCTACAACGTGAGGAAGACCGAGCTCTCCAAGGCAGCCAAAGTCTTTGAGGTACAGACCTCAATAGCTCTTTCCTTTCCTGCACCCCCTCTTCTGTCTCTACTGCCTTCATGTCTCACATCTCTCCCTCTCTCACCCTTCTCCTGCTCCTGCCTTACACCTCATGCTGCCTTCCCCCTTTCCCCCATCCTGGTTTGGCTCCAGCTGCTCAGAGGTGAGCTGGTCTCATGGAGGAGAGGGAGAGGGCTCTGGAGCGGGGAGAACCTGAGCACAGTCTTTTAGAAGAATCACCATTTCATGGAAGGGCTGCTTATAGCAGATACAAATCAGTTGTTTCTTGCTAGCAGTTGTGGTGGCCGGCATTTCAAGCACTCAGACTGTGGGGATGTTAGGAGCCAGTGAATTTTCTCTGCATATTTGGCAGGAGATACAAAGGCTATGAGAGCTGTGAACCACACAGGCATTATGTAGTCTGGACAATTGAAGTGCCCCTACCAGGTGCTCACTCTTATCTGGGAGAATTAATAACTCCAAATAAAAGTATTTTGCTTGTTACTTATTTCTCACCATTATTTAATGATTATGGTGCTATTATACATCAATAGATCTGCTTTCATTCTGGCAGGGTTTTAAGTTACCCAGCCACTCATTTGCTATTTCTGCACAGATGAAATTCTACAGTCAACAGTATCTCATCTTTCATCTCCTTCTTTCTCTCTCCAATGCAATAGTGTTCAATCTTTAGCTCTGTCTGTATTTTAGCTCTTTGTAAACCAGTTGTTATTGGACTTCATTGCCTAACATGTTCTTCTAGTTAATCCCTCTTTTAGTCACCTTTTAAAGACATTGTAGAAATGTATATAGACTTACCTGGATTTTCAGTCTTTGGAGAAGCTTCATCATATGAACACTTGGCTCTTGCAGATGTTTGAAACTCAAATCTATCACTTTGAAACCCGTCAAGCCAAAAAGCCCAAGAACTCTGTGGATGATCTTGACATTTTTGTTGAATGTGAAGTTCACAGTGCTGATGTTGGTATCCTTGTCACCTCCTTAAAGAGAGTAGCAAAGGATGTGAAAACCAGCCGAGAAGACAAAGGTAAGACATGTATGCATCTCTTAGTGCAGTTATTTTAGAGTAACTTTTTTTAGTTTTAGCTTCAGCTTCATAATAGTAATTCAATTTGTCTGGAAAGCCAGTGAGTGTGCATTTATTATTTGTCTCTGCATGGCTGCTTTCCATTGCCATTGGTGCAGAAAGGGAGGCACTTCATCACAAGCAGTGGAACTGAGGTGAGAAATGTCCAGCAAAGAGGGAGACGGGAAGGACAGAACAGCAGAACAAAAAGCTGAGGTGAAACTAGAAACTCCTCAATGACGGGAAGATTTTGTGCTGAAAGCTGTGCAGAGAACTGATTGCTTGAAGACAAACACAGAGGCAGAGGGGTATTTTTCCTGTCTGCAGGCAGGAATGGGTGAATAAAGCTCTTAGAGACCTTTGGTACAATCCTGAGGATGGCAGATTAGGAGGCTGAGGATGCAGCTCACATGCCAAGTTCTCTGAGTACAGAATTGCCATGGGGTTCCCCTCTCTTGCCAAGGCCAGACAGATATTCCAGAGCACTTTTAACTTCCACAGTGCTGTTTGGGCACCTTTGGTGTTTTTAGAAATTCTCTGTCAGGCTAACATGAGAGGCAGCCCTCGTCAAGCTGCTCTCAGGATCTGTGGGTACACGGAAAGGGCATCACTCTTATCAGGGAAACTGCAAAGCCAAAGAGGGTTTTGGAGCTGGAGAAGAATTTCTTTAGGATTTCCTTGGGATTTGAGAGGTTTCAGACACACCAGGACTTAGAACTACAATAAAAACTGTTAAAAGAGGGAGTGTTTATGTTTGTTTTTGTAGGCAAGATGTGTATGGGGGCACACTGGGACAGCTGTGGTCAGGTACAGGTTTTGAGGGGATATGGAAATAAATGGCAGGAAAGGTGCCTTGCATGCAGAACCACTGGTACAGCCAGAGAGAAAGGCTCAGAAAAAAGTTCTGGGGGCACATCGGGCATCTGTCAGACTGGAATTTCTTCCTATTTATCACAGAATTGGTTGTAATGCATGAAAATTGCATAATTTCCCCAACATCCCTGGATATTTTTAGATTTTTACTTCTCTAAACTGGATGTTCTTAGATCTAATATAATACAGCAAAAGTTAAATTTACCATTCAATAGAGAGATTTTGACGTCATGTCCAGTATGAGATTAAGGTTTCCCCAAATGGACCTTTCTGAGCTGTAACACAGAAAGTCTGATTACAGCATCAATCTGATTGGAAAGCAATATCAGCTTTGTGTTTTTCCAGCAATTCTTTTTTTAAATTAATTTCTCATAAATGCTGGCATCTAAAATAAAATTATCACATTTTATTTTCATTTTAGTCACTGGAAAACCTTCCCACTTCATGAGAAGGAAGCTGCTTGGAAATGCAGCTAATGAATAATGTTGCTGGAAAAAATAATGAGCCAAAAGGAAAAAACTTTAAAATTCTTCTTCACCTCTTTGGTTTCTAGAAATTTTATAAATATCATGTTTTCTTTTTAAAATTTTGTCGAACTTTTGAAGGTATGAAAATGTAGGACTGCTTTTTAGACAAGAAATATTCTTAAATCCAGAATGCAGAAATAAATTTGTTGTCCTGTGTCAAACAAAAACCCCACCTGATCTAAAAAATATTTTTGTCTTTAAAAATTGTTTCTACTAATTAAAACTGAGAGATTATCACAGCAAGCTAATTTCAGATAATTTTTCATCCAATCTGCCAGTTCGGTCAGGAAGCAAGTCAGCTACTGAAATGTATGACAATTATGGTAACGTATAGATATGAAAATTCTCAGATATTGATGAAAAGAAACTTTGTAATCTTCAGCACAGTTTTTATTTTCGCTCTAAAATTTCTTTGATTCTCTCTCATTTAACTCTTTCTGCTCTCTCTCCAGTGCCCTGGTTCCCCAGAAAAATCCAAGATCTGGACAAGTGTCACCATCTGATCACTAAATATGACCCCAGCTTGGACCATGGTCACCCTGTAAGTTTAACATTACTGTAATTTCATTTTTAAAAGAGAAATTCTCTGTAGGGAGATTATTCAGGGAAACAGGAGTAAAGAAATACTCATGAAAGAAGAGGAAAAAAACCACAGGGGCAGACAAAAGCTCATCTTCAGTGGCATTAGGGACTGCATGTGTCCCTGCAGGAATGGACCACAAAAGGGTTTTACTGTAGCATCTTTATGTGTGCCCTCTTAGCCATGCCCTAAGCACGAACTCCAGGAGAGGGAAAGAAAAATGCACTGTAGAGTCCTGCTCTAGTGATGATAGTGAGGCAAAGTACTGGGAACAAACAAACAAACCAACAAACAAACATTCTAACACTTATTGGTCATCAAAGTTTCCCAGCTTTAGTGCAGGTCAGATGTGAGTTAGGCACAGACACAAAAGGGACCCCAAAAGACCATTTGTCACAAGTCAGGTCACAGAAGCATTTTATTCTGTCAAGCATCACATAGAAGCAATCCATGGAAAGGACAGAAAGAAGAGATATTTTTCACTGAGAAATGTAGTGAAGATGTAGATGTGTGGCAACAGAATCTACAAGGAAGATTTTGTCATTCTCTTCTCTACATGTCTGAATTCTATTTAGTCCCTTTCATTAACCTACACCAGGTTTTGTTGTGAGGCATGTACAGTCTTGTGTAATATGAAATGGACCTTTCCAAGTCTGTAAGTCTATCTTCTATTTTTGAGAATCACTTATTCAATATAACGCTCTAAGAGAGCTTCATGTCCTCCTTAACCGGAACATCTTTCATTTTCCTTATTTCTTTCTGGTACAAACAGTCCAAGTGTTTGTAATTTTCCTGAGCTAGCTCTTAGGCTGTTTCTCATTAGGCAAATGAACACACATAGGGCGTTCTTTGAACTGGACCGAGTTCCCCTCATCCTTTGCCAAATAGAAGGTGTGAGCACTGGAGAGGTTGAGACAAAGCAGCAGTGGTGCTGAGTCAATGAAGGATTGAGTGGGGATAAATCTACATTGCAGAATGTAGTGCAGTTTAGAAATACCTAACAAGTTAAAAACAAGTTACCTCAGGCACTGAGCATCACTTGTCTGTGGCAGGACAGAGCACAGTGTGGGCTGATTTACCAGGCTCAGAAATGGAGAGGCTGGAGGAAAGCACAAAAGAAGCTGATGCACAGGGAGCTCAGATTTTGCAAACACATTTCCTACCAAATGGACAGCTTGGGTTGTTTCTCTCCACACCTACAGTTTGTTCTTTGCTGGCCCAAACAATCCAACTGGCATCACTGTGACACCAATTTCTGGGCTACCCTGTCACTGGCTGCCCAGAGGGTGGATACAGGGACAAAGCTGGGATGTCACAGCATCTGTGTGAGTCTGCCCCAACAGCTTGTCCTGTGTTTTGCATGGACTTGTTACAGCCACTGACAAGCACCTGAATGAACACATTACCCACAACACATGACAAAATAAACATGCTCTCAGGATCCAGCCCTTCCCTCAGATTCAGGCATGCAGCACTCATTAACTGCAGGGTTGCTGGTATTATTGCTACACTAAAAATTATGTGAATAAACCCAAGGGACAAATTTGGCTTGCAGTACACAAAGTGGTTCCAGTAAATGCTGAATATTTTAGAATAATAAATATTTGTACAGTGATGCTGATCAACGCTGTTTTAGGATTTATATTAGCACACAGCCCCAGATTTAAGTTTTAATTCCTAGTACGAAAGACGTAAAATTAAAAGGAATATGATTCCATGTTTGCCTGCACATTCAATATCTGGCAAAGACTGCTTGAAGTTTTAATTCTAGTAAACACAGAAGGAGCAGAAAGAAAACTGGTATTCAGTAGGTAAACCTCCCCTTTAATCAGATATCACTGAGTCTGTCCTTATCACAACATAATAAAAAAATGGGCAGGAGAACTGGGTGGGGATCCTGCACTTCCCACAGACCCAGTGGTGGTTCTGATGGTTTCTACTTATGCCCACAGATCTCTCATGATGTAAAACGTTTTTTCCTGATTCTTTTCTAACCCAGGGATACTCTGACCTGGAGTACAGCAAGCGGAGAGCATTCTTTGCTGACCTGGCCTTTAATTACAGAGAGTAAGTACAAAGGGAAAGTGCAATGGCTCACACTGTCAGACTGCATGTCCAAAACATGTCAGAGATGTCATATTTTGTCCATGGATCAGTGGGGCCACTGATTGATGTTGTTTGAGACAACAAAATTCAGCCACCAAAGCTTTCTCTCCCTATGGAATAGATTTTCGTGATGACGCAGTAAATACATTTTAAGACAAAAATTTTAAGATTGTATTCACATATCCCAATCCAGTGCTGGATTTTGTTTTAGCAGAAGTGATTGCAATATTATTTATTTCAATTTTCAAGTTCCTTTTAGGACTTGGTCCTGAGCTGAGGCTGATGTTTTTCAAGGAAATTTCAGGAACGATATTTACAAACATATTTTTGATGGTGGAAAGTGATTTACTATTTTTTGTTATTTGCTTTTTTAAATGTCTCTGTCTATGCACACTAATAACACGAAAAGCTCTCAGTTCTCATGCAAGTGATGGAAAATGTTTCTACCTTTATGTCAGCAGAACTACACTGCTTTCTGATGGAGTTAATCAAAGGTATAGGTACAACCAGTCGTGGATTTTCAGCCTCATGGTGTCCAAGAACTGGTGGAGGCAAAAAAAAAGCTTGGAAACGGAACTTGAAATCTTAAAACATGTCATATTTCTTCTCTTCATTACAGAGGAGACCCTTTACCTCACATTGAGTACACAGCACAGGAAACAGCAACTTGGTGAGTTTGGTACTTATGATCCAACTGCTGGGCCATTCCACAGCAGTCCCAGGAAAGACTGGCAATGTGACACAGCTAAAACCTTTTAAAATGTTCTTCATCCACCCCACATTTGACTCTTTGGTTAAATGTCATCTTTTGGTCATTTGTTTTGCAGAAAGCCATTCTCAGGGCTGTTCTTAACTATTCACTTACTAGAGCAAAAGGCATTTTTCTGACTGTCTCCCTGCCTGAAGATCCCATCGGGATATCAGAAGCCAGAAAACATCTGGGACCTATAGAATAACTGCTTCTGACTGACCTCTAATTCACCATAGCTATGGTGCTGGCAGAAAGATCACATTTTCAAACTCATTGTCAGGAGAAAATGCCCACTCATAGGACAGAAATTCACTAAGAGGACATGGCTAATTCAATGTTCACAGGACAGAGGAGCCTTGCTTGCTCTCCTTCAAGTATTCCTTGCTTTTAACATGAATATATATCGTTTTCCAAACTTAAGGTAGAGGAAATTTTGAAATACCTTTCTAATACACATTATTTACATTGTAAAAGGGCCTTAGATAACATAGAGATATCATATGAAATTATAGCAAGTTACTCTTACAAGGGTGCAGCCTTTTATCACTGGGGCTTTGTTTCTCCTGAAGGTCTACCTCAAAAGAAAAAAAAAGCCCAAAACACAACCAATGAATGAACCAAAATATTCAATTAAAAGCATTTTTTTCAAAATTATGTGAAATATGTGGCAGATTTGAAAGGGAGCAGAGCTCTTATTTAAAATCCCGTTTCCACTTTTTTGCCACTAACCCTAAGATGTATCAGTAAGCAGCAGTAATTCCACATTTGTATGATACTACAAAGCATTAATATGTCCAAAAGTCTCAAGTAAGAGCAGAGTCCTGAGATTGTGCAAGGTGCCACATGTGCACACAAGAGAGAGTCTTTGTTCAGAAATTTAAATGGAAAGAAAGACTAAAGGTGGGGGAAAGGAAGAATGAAGACCACATTTTCTACTGCGCAACAGAAAGCCCTAGAACTTGAGTAATTTGCCATAAAATCAGATGCAAAGTTTATTCCAATGCCAGGACTTAAATCCATAGAACTAGATGTCTCATGCCAGAACCTCTCTGGTATCTCATCTCTTTCTATGCTTTATTTTAAGTAAAATCTACTTTGCCACAGAAAGCCACAAGCACATAAAAACCTTGCATCCAGCTCATCCAGGAGGACATGCTTTTATTAAGCTCAAGTAGGTTTTTATAGCATCTTTCAATAGTCAAAGATTGATGGTCAGTGTCATGCTCATGATTACTACCACCAGCCAACAATCTTGGCATGGGATGGCGTGTGGGAATGTCGTATTTAAGAAAATTTAATTCTGTGTTCCTTCCTGTTTTTCTCTTTTATTGCCAACCTTCATCATTCCAGCTCTTCTCCACCTCGAATTAGACCCATAGTGGCAACAGAATAGACTTTTAAAGGAGTGTGTGCCCATTTCCTTAAACAGCTATCCAGGTTGCGTTGTTATGTGAAGCTGTTCCCAAAATTAGCCTTCCCAATGGTTATCACAGCCCCCGAGGCTTTGCCCTGAGGTCAGCTGCATTACAGCACAGCTTAATCAGGCCGTGCCATTGCAGGGGAAATTTGTAGCACAAACTAAACTAAATTCCCTTGGTTTACTCTGAGGAGCTGCTGGATGCCTTCCGTTTGCAGCCATGTGGTTATAAAAATGAAAACCAAGGCAGTGAAGAAATACGACTGTCAGAACACAGAGGGCACAGATGATCTGGGCTTTTGTTTTCAAAGCAACTTCTTGGAAGGCCCTGAAACTAAGCAGTCAGAGATGCCATATGGGTAAAAGCTGTGTAAGAAAAATGGAGAATTCAGGAGAAAATGATGGGGAAGCACCTGTAACATTTCATAATGAAGCTGAATAGTACCACTTTTTTTTCCCCTGAAAAATAAGGAAAATTATGTAAAATTAGGGTATTATCTTTAAAGTCTTTCTAGCTTCTGGCTCCATCTTTTGTTAGGATGCCCCTTTCTAGAGTGTTTCATAAAGTTTGCTTCTAGCAGTTCTTTCATGCCTGCTCCTCTCTTGGCTTTGGAGAGATTACTCAGATTATTGTTTTAGAGGAGCACTGAGCTTTGGATAATCCATTCCTGGGACTGCCTGCATTTCTGTGGTAGCCAATGTTTGGGCACACAGCAGAACGACACTTGGATAAAAGAGACCAGATGTGCACAAGTGTAAACAGGGCTGCTCTCTCTGGGCTCCAGCCTGGGCATGAACCCTGCGCTGGTTCAAATCCCACACAGCCCCATGAAGCCAGGAGCATCCCATGAGGAAACAAGCCAGGGCAACACTTGAACTCCAGTCCTCCTCATTTTTTCCTAATTCCTCCATGGAGATGGCCCAGTCTCCTGTGGCTTTTGCAATAGTGACAGCAGCCACTGTTTCCCTCTGTTCTTTCAACTTTTTTTTTCCTCCTAAGGTTTTCCTCCCCCGCTTCATTCTGGTTCATTATTGCTCCCACACTGTGTAAGACATTTGTACCAATAAAGAGCCATTACCAGGGACTGGCTATCACCTCCATAGCAACAACAGCATCACAAAAAGGAGAATAATCATAATAATAGTAATGGTTAAAAAAATTACAAAACCAATGAAAGGTCATTTCCTGCACCCAGCATTTCCAAGAATGATCTCAATTTTCATAAAACAATGTTTATAAAGTTGTTGAGACCCTAGGGCCATGTCTGAACAAAAATAACCATTTCTATAAGGTTCTTTGCCATCCTATTACTACTTGCTTATTTTGCAACAGCTAAATATATTCCAAACCACTACTCTAAATCCAAGTACCATCAAGTTTGAGAATCTTAAAGCCTGTGCCCAGGTTACATATATTATTTTCAGCTGGTCTCTTTTTATATAGTGGGATAAATGCTTCAAGAAAGCTGGCATATATTTCAAATACATATCCTGTGCCAGGCATTTGGAACTGCAAAAATACAAACCTCTTCACCTGTGCAGATATTACACTTCAGTATCAGAAAAGGTGCTTTTCCCAGAGACTTTTAAGAGGCAAATCTAAGCTACGCTTCGGAGTGGAAAAGGAGGGACCAGCATGTCAAGTTGTACCCAAACACAGAAAGGAGGGGAATACCTGATTTATTCCTTTTCTAAACTGAGAGACAGGGTATCCCAGATTCAGGTCTCTTCCTGGGATTTCCCTGGTGCCTCCCAGACACTCAGTAAGATGCCTAATCAAGAAACACTTCTGCATCATGATTACAGTTCTGTAATATTAAAGGACACCTTCTGAAGGAAAAGTGAAACAAAAAGAGCTTATAGTTTGCTACATCCAGCCAGGACCAGCTTTCAAACAACCAGCTGTCCCAAGCTCACATTTTTAGACCATGACCCCCATGCCAGGGCATTACCTCTCTCTGTGGATGGCACAGGTAAGAACTGCTCTATTGAGGTGTCTCACTCTGTCCAGTTTTGATTTTCAGGAGAGAAGTCTACAGGAAGCTGAGGAGCCTTTACCCCACCCATGCCTGCACCCAGTACCTGGATGCTTTCCAGCAGCTGGAGAAGCACTGTGGCTACAGAGAGGACAACATCCCTCAGCTTCAGGACGTCTCCAGATTTTTAAAAGGTCAGTCATCACAAACCATGGTTTATTCTAGGGTTCCCTGCACGTATTTGTGCACCACAAACCATTTCCTAGGAGACAAGCTGGTGAGCAGAGCTGATGAGCTCCAGCACAGGGCACTCATTCCAGTCACATGGAATGAAACCCAGCTGGAGGTTTGTGTGTGTTCTGTGAGAGGCAGCAGCTGGGGTGGCACTACCCAACTAATCCCTGTACCAGCAGCACTGCGGTCGCAGCAGACACTGCTCAGCACTGTGGGAATCCACAGCATCAGAGGGTTTTGGGAAAGCTGCAGAAGGCAGGCCTCAGAGACAGCAGAGCTGTGATTAGAGCTATGCAGTAGCCATGAGATAGGTCAGCAGAAAAAGTATTTAAACTGTAGAAAAGCAAGGACAAATAGAACAATGGTCTGTGTATTAATGCTTGTCTAGAATAACTCCCTAAGGTACAGAAAAATTTATCTAGCAAGGTATTAAGAAGTTTGAAGGTTAATAATGGAGTTCTGTGCATTGTGTTTTAGGGCTTACAAGCAGGTATTGTATCTGAAATAAGAAAGCAATTTTTTAACCAAAGGTACCTGTGCTTATAGTGGCTGGATGGAACTACTGTCAATATGCTTTTGCTTTGTGTGATTGGTCAAAAAACTTATAAAGTGAATTGTAACATCAAGTTCTTGGTGTGCTGCTTGGGATGTGAGCCGATGGCATCTTCCCATCGTCATAACCATGTAATGAGACCGATGCTGGAAAATAAAACAGCTCAAGGCACGTTCTCAGCAGTCCCATCCCATTTGTGATTTGTACAGATACCACCATCTGGCAATAAGCACGACTTCCACACTGCCTTTTTGTGATTTTGGCTCTGTTTGATGCTCCTATAGCCATGCTGATAGCAAGACCCAAGCACAGGTACTTACCTCTCAAGTATGCTTTGTTCCTGATCCAGCAGGCAGGGCGGGGATGTGTGCTGGAGGAGATGATTTCCAGGAGATCCTGCTGGTCAATCAGCAGCTGCCTTGGAACAACTCTGCTTCCTTCTGCCTCTGTAGCACCATTTGTCGCACCAAACCCTTTGGTGGCTGACAGGAGGGCACAAAGGCAGTGGTGCTGGCCCAAAAAGGCATGAAGAGGCCACCTTAGAAAAAGGACACACAGGTTTGCCAGGCTGACCAGCAAGGAGCAGGAGAGCAAGGGGGCCTGCATTATGAGGCCACAGCCTGCATGGATTCCCAAGGGCAGGTGCTTTGTGTAAACCACCTGATTATCAAGAATTACTAAAGATCTTAAAAGCCTCCTCCTCAATGAAAAGATGTGACAGAGAAAGGACAGCTTATCACCATGATGAAATACGCAATAAAAAAATATGTCTTAACTTTAAATAAATTGTACTTAAATACAACACTCAGAAAATCAAGTGGCCTGCTCCATATAAGAGTAGGGGGTACCCGTTAGCTTAAATAAGCTTTCTGTGTCTGAAGAGTTTTCTAAGACTTTGGCATTTCTCATGAAGATTCAGCTGTTTGATGACAAGGTTTTTATTGCATGTTTACTGTGAGGGAAGGGAGGATTGCCATGTTGCCATGTGAAAAGCATCTTCCATAAACACCCTTGCATCCAGCTGTAGGAAATTTTCTGTGTGGGCATTATGTATTTTCCCATGCATTCTCATTCCTATTCAAGTACACATCTTACTTCCCTCTTATAATAACTGGGCTGAAAAATATTTTTTTCTCTTGAAGTAGTTGATCTCATTTAAGTTACACAATAGCTGACAGCAGGGAGCTCCAGGAACTGTGATTCTGACTTGATTATCACAAATATCCATATCCTTCAAGTGTATCAGGTGATTTCAAAGTGGGAGAATTTAAGATAGTGTGAGACTATGCTGCCATAATCCTATTTGCATTGCTCATGTTAGTTGACAGGATTTGATTGCCTGGAGTCTGCTCACTTCCTTTAGAGGCTCTGGTTCTAAACATTCCCCGTGTCATAAACAAAACAAAACAAACTAAACAGCAACTCTGAAAAGCATGCCAATAATGTTTGGAAATATGTTCTCAGTGAGTTTCAACTCATTTATTATAAACATAAGGTGTCTACTATAAGCTAATTGTATGAACTACCTAGGAATGAGTATCAAGCATTCCAGAGGCATTTTATTCCATACTGAAATGGACAGCTAAGGAAAATGTAGAACTATTCATAGTTCTTGAGGACACTGGTCCTACCCTCATTAAACTGTAGATTAAAACTGGATTACTTTAGCCTACAGGTTGTGCATGAATGAAACAAATTTTTTTTCAGAAGAGCTGTGTTAACAGTTAGACAAAATTAAGAGTGAGGAAACTATTTTAGTCTCATTATGTGAGGCTTTCCATGGATATCTTGACTCTCTTTCCTCTGACAAGGTCATTCAACCATGTAGAATACTTTTCAGAATATCATGAAGATTGACATTATTGCAAGGCCCAAACTCAGTCTGAGTCAGAAGCATCTGCAAGGTTTAAAATCTGACCAAAAGTTTAAGCATGTTGTTAAGGGCATTGACCAAACTCCTCATAAATGCTGTCAGGTTTGGGGCATTGATCAGTTCTCTAGGGAGCTTATTCCAGTGTTTGACCACACTCTCAGAAAATAAATGCTTCTGAATGTCCATTCTGAACCTCCCCTTGTACAGCTTTGAAAATAATAAACCATGGGAGGCAGAGAGAGACAGAGAGAGGAGGAGAACCCAGAAAGAAAGTGATCGTGTTAAAACCAGCCCACACAGACAGATAAACTCCCATCTTCTCTTTATCTTAGCAGTATTTGTGAACACAAGAAAGCAATTACTTTTGATTTGGTATGACATCTGTCTGTTATTACCTACTAGTGAGGCTGGCAACTGTACTTCATAAATATTTCACAATTACTTAAAGGGAATTAAGTAGTTAACAGTGTGATCGCTTGCACAGGGCAAGCGTTTTCCCAAAGGGTTAACTGGATGAACCTAAGCACATCTTTCTTTCTAGGAAAGATGTTTGGATTTAGGCAGTCATTGTGCTCCACAGCTGGAAGAAATTACAGCCAGTGAACTCAAGCAAGCTCACACTACAATGCACAGGCTGCCTGTATACACCAGTTTTTGGGCCAAGAATTAAGAATTAAGCCTTGCAGATCACTTTAGGTCAACTGCTCGAGACCTTCTCTGCAATGCACTTTGATTTCCCAGATCCTTGGGCAGCAGGTCCAACCAGCCACAGCCCCAGTTCTCTGCTGATTTCTGGTTTGGTTGTGCAGTCATGAACCAGGGGTTCAGGTTTTGCAGATATTACCTTCAGCAGATAAATTTTTCCTGGGGCTTTTCAAGGCAACTGGCCAAGTCTGTTCCATCAGCAGACTGTCTGATTCACTGGCCTCTGTGTAAAAGGACATCCCAGGGAACACAAGCTGAGATTTTCATTTTCCCTCCTTCTCCTCCAACATGGATGCTAAAGCTATATAAATTTCCCTAGACTCTTTCATAGTCTTTCCAAAATTGAGTTACTAAAGTATTGGTTTTCATATAATATATTTTTCAGCTAATGTAATTTTCACTCAGAATTCAGCCCAAAGATTCTGAAATTTTCACATTCCTCTGGATTGGACCAGCAAATAGACAAAGGCAGATATGTAATCTCCACAGGTTTATTTTTTTTTAATTGTTTATTTTTGATGCAGAGTTCTGTACTAATTACCTGTGAATTGAGTGGAGCAAAAGAAGACATCTGTGGCAAATGCCCACCACCTAGTCTGTCACAATGTCAGGAAGAAGCACTTCTTGCTGTCCTCTCATTCCTCTATTTCTTCATACATTTTGTCATTTCTTTGAATCTTTTTCTTTTTTTCTTTCTCTGGGTGTTTTGTTTTGTTTTGTAATGGGAGAAGTACTAATAGCCTGACAGAGTAAGACAAGAAATTCTGGAAGAAACATGAAAAAACAAACCAAAACAAATCTCGTAAATGGCTTGGTTTCTGGGTGGGATTTTTTTGTTTGTTTTAAAAAGGAAAAAAAAAAAGGTTATAGGCTTCATGACACAATAGAATATGGAAGAAGAATTGAGAATAAAGCCATTTCTGATTTTTTTTTAAACGCAGTTTTATGCTTTAAAGAAGATGAGATGTCATTTACGGGAGCTGAGAATGAAACACAGATTTTGAATATAGGACTTCAAAAAGATTATCATTGGCTCACTTTGAAAGCGGTGATTTTCAATTTTCTTAGCTTTGCAGACCACCAGCATGTTTCCCATGGACATGCAGAGTGTGTGTTCTATTGGCCACCAGACTGGTTATTTTTTTGGTTATCATCTCTCACAGTCCTTTCACAGTAATGCAGGGTGCTCTGGGGTAACACTGGATGTAGGAGCTGAAATCACAGTGCAAAAGTGTTGCATCCTTCTGTGTCCTGGTCTGTGGACATGTGCAAAGCAAAACACCTTTGGTCACATCACTGGGAGGCTGTGCAGTGGGTTATAGACAAACATAATGGTAAAAAAAAAGCCAAGAAAGAAAAAAAAAGAAAAAACACCAGTGTTGGAATTTCAGGCGTTTTCTTGTTCCAAGGAAAATAATACTCAGGAAATATTTTTGAAGTCTCACTCTGAAGTTTATTATCCTTATCTATTACTCACATGAGGTGTGAATTCTCCCTAACCAGTTGAGAAAGTGCCCTAAAATGGTGTCTGTTAAAGGCCATTCATGTCCTAATTACCCAATAAACAGTTGACATCTATATTATTTATGCTTCTAATCTGATTATGTTCACCCAAACCTCGCAATGTGGACATCTTTCATCCAAATAAAGAAAATCACCCAGATTCATGAAAAAGAAGGAAGAAGAAGGTGAACAACTTGCCTCCATCCTAAAACCTCCATCTTGCCTCATATTTATTTCTATATTCTAAAACCCTAAAATTCAAGTTTTCCACCCTGTGATATTACACACTTCTAGCCAACTACACATGCGTAATCCCAATGCTATCAATCAATTTTGGAAATCTTCTCCACAGCCTCAGGTCAAATGCAGTGTTCTCTTGCGAGCCTTTCAGCACAGAAAGTTTAAAATTCTCAGCATCCAGGGTTCCAACACACCAGGTGCAGGTTCTGTTCTCTGCTTGATTGTAAAGACCATGTGAGACCTCAGATGCACCCCTGTGGTGTGGAACGTAGAGAAAGAATTGTGTATGTGCAAAAATGTGCACTGGGGTGGGCAGTGCTCCCACACCTCATGGCTCTGCTGTGTGACTTCTCACAGGATGGATGGACAGGTGATCCCATGTGGCAGGAACTGCTCTTATACCAGTTCATGCAACAGGGGAACATCAATCATGATAAGCCAAAGTGTGCCCGCTGTGCTTGGTGGAGGGAACTATTCCAACAGAGCAGGAAGGATCCCTGAAACTGCTTAGCTAAAGTAAACCTGCTGTGTGGTTAACCCTAGAAACAGCTTAATTTGGTGTCCCTTCCCTTTGCAGAGAGAACAGGTTTCCAGCTGAGGCCAGCTGCAGGACAGCTGTCTGCCCGTGACTTCCTCGCCAGCCTGGCGTTCCGTGTCTTCCAGTGCACACAGTACATGAGGCATTTCTCCTCTCCCATGCATTCCCCAGAACCGTAAGTTTGATGGCCTGACATAATTCCATCCTTCTGAGTGTGTTGGGGATCATTCTCTTGGGACTGGCTCTGGAGTTCCATCCAGTAGTCTGCAGAATAAAACAATTTGAGAAACTGGTAGCTGGAGAGTTGGAAGGGGAAGTCATGCATGAGAGGGTGTGGTGCTCTGTCTCTTTTGCAAAGCTGTCTGGGGAAAGAAAAGAGTAAAGAATATCTGGTTTAATCTTTTCATCCTGCCTTCAGTTACCATCTGCTGGGGTTTGACTTCCTGCTGTGAAGCTCTCCCAGTAAGTGCTGGCCAGACAGCAGCAATTACATTTCATGAGAAATTACAAGTTCACACAGACGCTTTTGTTGTACACTGGGACAAAACAGAGACCTTCCAGAGATGTTGTGACACAGAAGGTTAGTGCCCATGCCATCCCAAGGAGACAATAGACAGGGGGCAGGAGGGAATGCTCTGATCCTTGCAGAGCCAGGCCAGGTGTAGAGGCAGCACTGTGGAGCAGCCCCCACACCAGCTCCCTTTGGGGTCTGCTGGCTAAAGTCCCTCACAGGGAGTTCATGAGGGGCAGGAAAGGAGGCTTTTAACAAACAACAAGATCACTTATTTTCCAGAGACTGCTGCCACGAGTTGTTGGGTCATGTTCCCATGCTGGCTGACAAGGAGTTTGCCCAGTTCTCACAGGTAAGAACATTTCCTGCTGACCCTTTGACCAGCTGCTCTGGATAGCAGGCCAGAATGCCTTAAATACACACAGCTCACCACGCAAAGCAGTGCTAAGAGTGGATTGTGCCTGAGCCATGGGCTGGCAGCCACCTGGGAGATGCTTCCTCCAAGGGAGTGGCAGCACTGCTCCCTACAGACCCAGTGTGAAAGGAAGGGCAGGCAGAGCTTGTGGGGCTTCTCTGTGGGAGGGCTGTGTCAGTCTGGGTGTCTCTGTGGGGCTGGAGGCTGAGCCCTGCTCCCCTGGCTTCCTCTGCTCCACCACATGAACCTACACAGGTGAGCCTCCGAGCTGGGTCTGTCTCTGGATGTACGTTCTTCTCTTGCAAGCAACTTTAATTGTGTCCATCACCATGCCATTCATCAGAGTTGTTTTTCCCTTTACAACTCACCAGATTCTCACAGCATTGCTCACACTGGTGAGGAGGCTCCAAAAAGCAAACAGAGCTTCTTTGTACAATAAGGGGCTATTTAGTACGAACAATCAGTGTCAGACCCAACTGAACTCAATAACCTCTCATAATTAAAGACTTCAGAACTATGAGTGTTCCTCAAAACCATAGCAGAGGAGGAGAAGACATCTCATTGTTCAGGTTTATCAATCAGTGGCCAGTGGGGAAACTGGGGATAAGATCAGAGGGGCAACATGATGTAGGTCCCAGCATGACCTAGGTCCCTGAAGAAATATCTTTAAAACAAAATCAGTTCACTTCATATGATGTGGTTTCCAGTTTTATCAACTTAAATACATGCCAGTTACAATTTTGATCCTAAATATTGGTTATTAACAGAATCAAAAGTGTAGTACCTTAAGCAGCCTAGTCATCTATAATTTATTCTGGAAGAAACCTATTCAGTTCAGTTCAATACTGGAACTTCAGACACATTAAAAATAAAATACTACAGCAATTTCAAAGCTTTCAATTTTCTTCTTTTCCTATCCGTAGCACAGACTATACAACATCAGATCACATTCAGTGAATTTTCACATTTCACTTTTTTGTCCCCACAAAGTATTTTCACCGTTGAAATTCACCCCATGAAAATTCTTTTTTGCCCCATTCAATATGAGACAATGAATGGTGAGAATACCCTTATTTTGTTTGTTTGTTGCATGATATGGCTCCTCGGATAGCAAAAAAAGAGACATCTAGAGTTTCCTATTGTGAGAATAACATTTAGCAGGGAGCACAGATGAAAGTAAACAGAATCATCCCTGCACAGATCTGGCCTGCTCATAAGGGCTGTCAGAAAGAGTGAGGGACAGAAAGGTAATGGCAAAAACAAAATCCACCCTTGCTGTCCTTCCTTCTCATGCCTCCCTGTAAATTTTTGCCTGGTGTAGATAGCCCAGCATTAAGACAAGAGATGGTTAATTTTACACAGAGAACACTGAGGATTAATCACTCATCTAATGTGGCTCCCAGTGGTATGTAGCTGGGGGCCAGGGAGAGGTAGGCATCCTGGAAGCCATGGAAGGTCATTTTGGGTGACAAAAACAATGAATAGTTCATGCTATTCCTGCTAGAAATGATGGGGCCCTCCCCCTTCCCCTCTTTCTCTCCCTTGGGCTGAATAATCACACTGGTGTAACAGTCTGCTTGCTTGCTTGCTTGCTTGCTTTAGGATATTGGACTGGCTTCTCTTGGATCATCTGAAGAGGAGATTGAGAAACTGGCCACAGTAAGTACAGATGGCAGTTTAATATCAGAGGCAAACCCCAAACGATTCCCTGCATATCCCTTGCTGTGCAGGGAAGGCTTTTTGTGCCTCAGATTGACTGCAGAAATGGGAGCATCAGCAGGATTGTCCCCTCTCCTGCACAGGTTAGGAAGGTGCTGGAGCAGGGACTGGAATTCCTCTGGAGGATCCCAGAATGGTGTGATTCCACCTGAGGGAATGCTTACATTTCTTGATTTTATAAGAATATATTTCTTAAGCTAAGGTTTTATAAGTTCAGATACAGGATGGTCTCAACTCACATTCCAGACTCACCTGAAACATTAGATACTCAGTGTGATACCTGTATTTTCTCCTACACGAGGTGCAGAGAACCATCACAATTTGGTTCACCTCACATTCATTAACCCCACCAAATAGGTGAGCACTTAAAAGCAATTTGGGAGCAGGTACTGCCATTCAGTTCTGAGTCACTTCAACCATCAAAACCATTTGTACAGGCCCTTACTGCCATCTTAGCTTGTTCTGAAAGTTGCCGGGAGGCCAGGTGATTTTTTTCTGATAATGGCACCCATTTACCAGTCCTGGTGATTTTTTCAGAGGAGGAGAGGAGCCTTACCCTCACTGAGCTGTGTGAGACTCATTTAGTACAGGTAGGAAATGAGAGGAGAATGTCACTCCTGAAGTTCCTCACCTACTCAGGAAGGAGGTGGTGGCTCACCTAAAATCCATCTGCACATACCCATCCTTGGGTTAAGAATAAGTAAAAACACCATTATTTCTGAAGATTGCTACAAGTGCTGAATACTTGGTGACTTCATCCAGGTCCTGGACTGGTTATGTGAGGAGACAGTGACAGTCCACATTTTCTCTTCCACTGCCTGGGCCTAGAGAGGCTAGAGAGGGATTAAGATCCATGTTTTTGCTAGGGTTAAAAAATGCCAACCCATGCTTTTGCTAGGGTTAAAAAATGCCAGAGAACTTGCATCATTCCCCAGGAGTTGGTGACACTGGGTTAAGGCCTGTGGTTTATAAAGCATTCCTCTGCAAGCACCTCCTCCTGATCCTGAACTGAACAGGCCTAGACAAGGATAAGGTTAAGATCAGAAGAACAAAGGGTCTCATGGCCGAAAGCTTCCTAGCATTATCTATGGTTTGGGGAGGTAGAACAAGGGCACCTTTTAAAAGGCTCCCTGCAGTTCAGGGTGTGTGAGAATACAATTTTGTAAGTGCCATTCAAGTATTCTGAACAGTAAACATATTCTGGATTAACATCCCAATAGACAAATGTTTAACATTTCTGTACCTAATCTAGGCTTACTGCTTGAGCTCCTTTTCTAAAAAGTGAAGATAGAGGAGAACCTGTAGTGTATTCATTATCGTGACATGAAATCTAACATGAATTCTAAGATTAGCTCTCGAAGTCCCAGTCATTCCCTGTTCTTCATAAAGAGAATTTTGGTAACTAGCTTAGAAATTTCTTTAAAGAATCTCAGAATTATTGCTATGGTCTAAAACATTTGTAAGACAAATTTTGAAATGCCATTATTTCATTCAGCCCTGTGACTTCTCTAAACAGGTGGATCCATGCACCAGAGATGAGAAACTGCCAGAGTGCCACTAATACATTTTTTAAATTCTCTTAAAACAGTGATAGCTTGAAAGAACCTCACTATCCAAAATCCAAACACAGGATATCTTAAGAAACACTAAAAAGACTTCCATCTCCTCCCATGTCTCATTTTGCAGTCAAAAAAGCCTTCTGCAAAATGAAGAGATACTAAAAAGCCTTTTCATTGTGAGATAATAAGAGTCAAGATTATTAACAGAGTAGAAACACATAATTATTTGCTGAAACTCAGGATCTTGCAGAAGGAAAGATCCTGGCATGTTTTTTCTTCAGTGATAAACTTGAAGGCTAAAACTAACCCATCAAAATGAAAAGGTGTGTAAGAGAGGGTGAGAGAAAGAGGCACAATGTTTGAAAAAGGCAAAATGGACAGAATAGTATAGAACTTCACATATTTTTCAAATTGTCTGTGTTTCTTTAAGCAGGCTCCTGAGAATGCCATACGTATGAAGGCAAGGTCTGTCCCTGTGTATGAGGCAGCAAAGGGCTCTGTGTCTCTAAAGGAACCTTGAAGAGTCATGAGACAAAGCCATACTCTTGGAATGCCTCATTTTCCATGTTTTCCCTTTGCACAATGCCTATCTAGCTTCCCAGGGCTGTGTCCAGGACTTTGTCCTCCACTTTCATTTACCTTAGATTTTATAATAAGGGAAGCACTAAAAGTTTGGCAGAGCCAAGAGTTCCTTTCATCCCAATGTTGTCAGCAGGTAAGAGAAGTGTGGTCCTAAGGATGCTTTTATCACAAGAAAATTCCTGAGAATTTTATCTTTGTTTTCTGCTGGAGCATGACTAAGACATAATTGGCCCAATATGGAAAAAGGCATCCTTCAATTCTTCTGAATGAGATCACACAGACAAAGGAGGTGGGACACTCTCCTTTCAAGCCCCTTTGTAAAGGTATTGAACCCTCTGTCAGGATCTTCCTGTCCTTCTGGGGACTGTGGTGGAAATCTGACAGCTTCCACTGACTGCACTGAGGCTCTGGGCTAAGGGGTTGCAGGGTAATTAGTAACATCTTCCAAAGAAATAAAAGAATATAATTTTATTTACCCATGTATTATCATTCAAAATTTAATTTTTTTTTCTAAGTGGGACAACAAGTTCTGAAAAATTACATGTTAGTTTAGTGTGTGTTATATGCTGAGGGAAAAAAATATTTTCTTAAAATATGCAACTATAACATTTGAAGACACAATGGTATTAAGAAATGAATATAAAAAAAATTAAAGGAAAGATGAGAAGCTTAAAAATTCCTGCCTTTTCAGATTCTTTTTCACAAGTTGTTCTTATTCCCAGCTTTACTGGTTCACTGTGGAATTTGGCCTCTGCAAGGAAAATGGATTGATCAAAGCTTATGGTGCAGGACTGCTTTCATCTTATGGGGAGCTGATGGTATGTGTCAGTTGTTGGAAATATTGAAAGATTTCTATAATCCACTTTCCTGAACTCTGGTAAAAGCAAACTATGTTTTTCTACAAAAATCAGTATTATTTAAAATTCAGATTTTTATTTTGCAAATAATTCTCCCTTCACAGAAGCTACAGGGGAAAAGCTTCTGTGGTATTGTACCTGTCTTTAATCTAAAAAGATGAAATGCAATGAAAGCAACCATCCCATAAAATATTAGATTTGTTTCTTCCTGCTTCTGCCAGTAGTGATGCCGCTGACTTTGACACAAAACTCAGGTTCCTTTCTGAATTACTCACTAGAGGGCAATATTATGCCTATTTTGAGCTTGGCTATTTTTTCCCTGCCATTGACATTCACACACATATGAACCAGAAAGGCACGGATTGACTGGACCAAATGAAGTGCAAAGAAACAGGAAATAGCATGGACACTGATAAAAAGAAATTGCTTTGGCATTTTTCATTCCTAAACACATTTCAAAACTTATGTAAGCTCTAGTTTTACACAGATAAAAATCTGCGAGCACAGGTTTCATACTGCCTTGCTTAGGTATGTTTGCTGTAGAAAGAGGATTTGTACACTTTTAAAGAAAGTGGGTTTCCCCTCCTTTGACCAAACAGCTGATAGGAGAAATATTAATTTCTCATTAATTTTGAAGAGCACTGATGCAGGTGATCACTTTTTAATTGCAGAAGCCCTAAACTGGTATCAGTATGCTTCAGGCTGTGCAGACATTGGATATTTTCTAAATTGGTAAGAGCCAAAGGAAAATAAATAACACTCTTTTCAAGCATTTTTATAAACCAGAAACCTTTTTTCTCTTTCATGGGAGATATATTTTATGTTTAACACATAAACTCAGCAGCCTAACAGCCAGATGTATGATACATTCACATGGAATTGTGGCTGGATTAGCATAGCTTGGACTCCCTGAACTGGAGATGGTTGGGTTGTCATGACAATAAACATTTTACAAAACTCTCTCAGTTGTGTACAGGTCAGCCCACTTCCCAGTCAAGTGGCAGGAGGGAAAAAACAACATTTTGATGTATCTCAAGGCATTTCAAGTAGGAATCCCCACAGAAAGGCAGCTGAAATTAACACAGGGAAAAGGGAACCTTCTCAGACATCAACCTTCACTTTTACCACTTGATGAGTTCAACATTGTTTTTCCTCACAACACTTGCAATTTGGAGATGTTTGTGAGGTAACTCTGTGGAGAGCTTTCTCTCCTGATAAGCTGAAAGATCTGCACGCTCATTAGCCCTCTAGAAGAATAAACATGACTTCCTTTCTACATAAAATCCTGATCCTGGCCTGATTGCCCACCAACTTCACACTATGTGCTGCTGAAGCTACTGTTTATCTGGGAATTCTTCAGTACTCCTTATATTCACTGACAAACAACAGGAAACATAAACCTGTTTTCATTTAGCCAGTAAAACCAGAAATGTCCAATCAAAGCACAATTCAAGGACAAATTTATTCTACTCTGCCTGGCTTAAAACTTTATGGCTCTAAATCAAGTTCATTTACATGTCAAACAGGATACTAAAGGGCAGAGGTAATCATATTGCTGATATTTATGTAGCTTTCATAGCAATATGCATGACAAAATCCATGTGATGTGGTCACTTTATTTTTCTGATTAAGGTTTACTCAAATGAAGGTAAAAATCTCATCAGAAATGCTCACTTTTTGTGTCTGGAGTCAAGCTCAGCAGACTTGTCCTCTCTCTTCTCTATTTCCACCCTTTTCCTCCTCAGGCACAACAAGATCTTCTGCTTTTTTAAAACCATAGGCAGGGACTGCTTGTGCACAAAACTGTGCTTTCTATACAGAACAAAAAAGTACAATCTCAAACTCCCTACCTCTGAGCCTGAGCAGGAAGCCCTAACAGTTCCTGAGCTGAAAAATGGCAGGTTTTTGTCACTACTTTTATCACTGATAATTGTTGGGTAAAGCTACTGGATAAACTTTTGATAAAGCTGGGTCTACCTCTGTGTTCATCCATCATATCAGTGAAAATACATGCAGGAGTGATAGCATCTATATTCAAAGGTAATGAATAGGATTATCCCCCTTTCAGCATGTTCTTCTTGTATGTAACACCTAAATCAGAAGATGGTCAAGCACCCTGCAGAATCCCTTTGTGAGCTCTGCAAGTTCCTCACTGTGCTTCTGCTGGGACAATGGCTTAGTGGCTCTGTGCAAGCAACCTTGAGTTCCTGAAATTTGTTGTACACAAGTTAATTATATCTATAAATTTAAGTGCTGAAGTTTCCTTCTTTAGCTGATTTAATATCATTGATTTTTATTTAGAACAAAGCCAAAATACAGAAATATTTCCATTTATTCATTCTAGTCTGCCTGTGCATGTGGTTCTAACTTCAGTGTAGGCACTGGCAGTGTGGGTGAAGTGGTGAGGTCCAATGCCTGAGCACCTGTTAGCAAATTGCAAACCTGTACCAGCTGCTTCTTTTACAGCTGAAGAGACAAAATGTGTAGTTCAGTGCCTGTTTAGAAATAAAGCAGTGTCTAGACACATCTGTCAGAGAAGATGAAGATTGGAAGATAGTGAGGCTCATGACAGAATTGAGTTTATTGCTCTAGATAAGTTTTGTTGCTGCTTGGCAGAAAGCCATTATCCAACCTAATAATTATCTGCCAGCCTTCTCAGTGGGACCAGACATAGACTCCTGCATGGAGGTCCCACACTTGATTCCCTATCTTTTAGCCGATCAACATATTTGGCACAGGCAGTGAAGTTTTGGTGCTTTGCTGGCAATGAACAGAGCAAATCCTGCAAGAATCTCAGTGTGTGTAGGTTGTGTGTTGGAGGAGGCACCCTGCAGCAGGGAGGGCTTCCCTTGGGCCTGAAGACTTTTAGGCCAGGAGCAGCAGAATAATTCAGCCACCAAGGAGGGAATAAGGGCATGAGTTACTAAAACAAGAAGATAACAACTAACCAGTGGCAGAGGGCAAGCAGCAGTCATCCAGCTTATGTTATATGAGAACTTAGCATCAGCAAGAAGCCTGGGAACATCCCTGAGCTGCAGCCTGGCCTGACTGGCTGTGGGTGTGTGACTGTAACCAAGGGAACCACATCCTGGCTGTGAAATCTCTAAAACATTTCCCTTTTCTCCACAGCACCCACTCCTACCAGTTTGAAGCCAGTTTCAGGTAGATGAAGCTATACAGAACTCAGGGCATAATTTGGGGGTAAGACAGAGGATGAGAGGAAGAGCTAGGTACTCTCTGCATATGTCTTGCACTTGAATCCCTGTTATCTAACCAAGCATTTAGTAACAGCAGCTAGGTATCAGAAGGATAACCATCCCCAAGTCTGAACTGAGCAGTTGTAATGTGTCTGACTGCTGGCCAAACTTGCCTCCTCTGAACTGTAAGAATTCCTCCCCAAAAGCTCTCAGTATTGCACTGTTTATTTCACTATACTCTGTCAGCTGTTCTACATTATCCCAAATGCTTCTTCTGTTAACACTCAGCTGGACTCTGTCCTACATACTGTAAAATCTTATGGCTCATACCACAATTCTGGCAACACTCATTGCTACATATGCTTTTCTTGCAGCACACCCAGTACTTAACTTGTAGAGGCCTTTAAGGCCATCCGGTTTCAAGCTGAACTTCCACTGAAATCAATGGGATTTCAGTTCTGCTTCAACACTGACACTATAGCGGGACCCCTGTCAGGTTTTGAGTTACTGAAATCTTTTCCCATTCGTTCCCCAGAGCTTCTAAGATTCTAAGAGCAGCCTCATGTTTGTGTATACCAACCATCTTAGATTGTATGAGTGCTATCCAAGGTTTACTCTTCAATTACGCACTGCAAATGAAGAGCAAGAAAAACACCATCTTTTATATATTCTTGGGAGTTTTGGGGTTTTGGTTTTTTGGGTTTGTTTGTATTTTTTTTTTAAAGCCTGGTATTTATTTCTGCACCAGTTCATTGAAATGTCTAAATATGTGCTTAGGAGCACTGTCTGAATTTTTCCAACTAGAAGATTGAATTGAGCAACATCACCCACTGTTACCAGTTATTTACAAGTAGCACCCTGAGAGTTGACATTTGGATTATAAAAGGGTGAAGGGAGTCTCCTGAAGGCTGGGGAAGAAGAGAGAAAGGGAAAGAGACAGATCTCAGAGAAGGGTGGGTACTTAAAGAATATGCCTAGGTGAAAGGGGCCCACTGTCCAGTCTGAAGGTGAGAAAAAGGGTCTCAACATTGATGGGATGAGTTCCTTGCCTTCCCAGGACTCTGTGCAAGTAAAACTGGTGGCTGGTTGAAAAGGAATTTCCAGTATATGTAAACAAACTATGTAGATGTATCTTTGACTGCAGTGTGGATAGAAGTGCCTTCTATAAATCTCATGTTTGCCTAGGGGGTCAATGTAAGAGAGCTGGGGAAAAACATATAAAAGAATCTCTATGGGTTCAAAAATACAAATGTACACATACAGTATAGTGTTTATTTATATATTGGATTTATATATTGGATGTGCACATGTATAGTATTTATTTATATATTGGATTTCAGGGAAGATTTTAGGTTGCTATACAGGCCTGGGAGCCTTGCATAAAATACCAGAAACATTCTGCTTTCTGATCTTCATTGCAGCAGGAAGCATGAAATTTGTGACAAGGGCTAGGGGACTCTGAAGTAATGCTAGACAGGACTGTGAAATTTCTGTGATACTATCTGAAAAAAGCAGCATGATATTTTTTTCTTCTGGATATTTATATTTTGGGGGGTGGCATAGACTTTCCCCTCCCTGTCTGAGGACATGGCTGTGCTATCCAGTTGTACATCACTGTAATACAAGCTATATATATATATATATATATATATATATACACATATATATATTCTTTTATCTTAAAAAAATCTTTATTATTTGGTTTATTAATTATTAATTATGAAAATTAGCTCTGACATATGAAAGAACAGGACTTTCTATTACCCCTAACTATTCCCCAAAGAGAATTTTACTGCCCAGCAGGGACTAATTCTTTCTCTGTTCATTCACCTGCTCTAACTGGTGCTGTTCCTGCTCCAAAGTATGCTTTGTCAAACGAGCCAGAGTACAAGACTTTTGATCCAGAAGTGACTGCAGTTCACCCCTATCAGGATCAAGCCTTCCAGCCTGTCTATTTCATTGCAGAAAACCTGGAAGATGCCAAGGTCAAGCTTCAGTAAGTAAAGTGTTTGTGGGTTTTTTCATTGAGGGGCACACACTGGATTGATTCTTAATCTCAAATACTTCTATTTACAAACTATTGCAACAACCATGCCAGGCTATCTCACTGCACCTGCATAGTGGCTTTTGTACCACAAAGTAAAGCTTATCTCACAAAAGGTTCACAGAAACTCAGAATTTATTTTTGCTATGCCCTGTCCCCTGCTTCATCTTAACAATGCTTCATTTTAGCACCTTCTGAAGTAAATTCTTTAACTGAGCTGCGAGAGTGCAATCCCACCCTATTTGCTAGTCCATACAAACAGGAGGTCGTGAAGAACTGATTTACCCAAGGTCACATAGAAATTTTATAGCAGTCTCTGGAATTAACAAGGATCAGCAGGAGGCTTGAAAACAAGATTGCCTTTCTGCTCTGATTGTATCTGCACAAGAATCCAGAATCAGCATTCATGGGCAACCTAATTTCTACAAAGTAGCTGTCTGCAACCTAAATAACATTATTTCAAATTAGCTTGAGGTGTTTCTAAACACATTTCCTTTACTGTGCGATGTTGTGCAGTAAGGATGTTTGTTTCTTTTTCCTTTAAAATAAAAAATAAGCAGGGTTTAAATTCTGGCCTTCATCTCCAGCATTTAGAACAACACGACCAATTCTGGCTGGAGGCAGGATGTTGGTTGTGGAGCTACTGGGGAGCATGCAGGAGCTGAAATGAGGAATTTATTAGAGGAAGGGAGCCTGAGCCAGACTTCTTCCCTACTCTCTTCTCCTCTTCCCCAGAAGCAGTGTCTGCTGGGGCTATAGCCATGGCTAATTAGGCTCATCATCTTAAATCTAAATGTTCACATTTAATTTTTAATACGTGTAAAAACGAGGGTGAGAACTCCCTGGCAGAGGAGAGAGGACTTGCAAAGCTTTTGACTCAGACAAACCTGCAAAGAACGTACGAGGACAAGGAATACACCACTCTCAGGCATGGAGCTTTTTCATACATTTTTTTCAAAGCAGTTGCACAGCCAAGGCTGCTCAAAATAACTGAAAGCACAAGAATCTGTCAGCATGGAAAACATAAGGCAACATCAGTACAGGGGGTTCCTACCAGCATGCACTTAATGGAAATATTGTAGAAAATGGCAAGCAATTGTGTTTTTTCTTTTAATAGAGACAGAAAAATAGCCCAGGATGCCTAGTATCAACAGGTTTTTAGAATATAACAGAGAAAGAGCTGCTCCAGGTTATTTCTTGGAAGTGAAGGCGGCAGACATGCTGTGCTCCTGCATTCCTCAGCTTGTGGTTGTAATAACTCTGAGTTGTGTGAAGGCAGAGCGGTGAGAGCACAGACGGGCCCCAGCCAGCCAGGCTGACACCAGGCACTGCAGAGCTCTGGGGCTGCAAAGGGCTCAAACTCAGCCAGGCTGACACCAGGCACTGCAGAAATTTGGGGCTGATAGAGGCTCAAGCTCAGCCAGGCTGACACCAGGCACTGCAGAACTCTGGGGCTGCAAGAGGCTCAAACTCAGCCAGGCTGACACCAGGCACTGCAGAACCTTGGGGCTGATAGAGGCTCAAGCTCAGCCAGGCTGACACCAGGCATTGCAGATCTCTGGGGTTGCAAAGGGCTCAAACTCAGCCAGGCTGACCCAGGCACTGCAGATCTCTGGGGCTGTGAGTGGCTCAGCCATGGGCAGGGTGTGCTGCATCAGGCAAAGCTCAGGAGAAGCAGTGAGGAGGTGTCACAGCTGCCTCTGCTCCATGAGTGCACCCTGAGAAATGAGGTCCGGCAGGTTTTGCCCCTTTTGAAGCAGAAGCTCTGTCCGGTCTCCCCACAGGAGCTACGCCATGAAGATCAAGAAGCCTTTTGCTCTGCGCTACTACCCCTTCACCAGAAGCATAGAGGTCTTGAACACACCACAGAAAGTCAAGAGGGCACTCCACCAGATAAAAGAGGAGCTGGAAAACTTCTGCTTGGCCCTTGAAAACATCTTTTAAAACCACAGCAGTACATCTCACCTGTCACTGAGATGCTCTTAGGTGGTACTAGCACTTTGAGGCTTAGCGATGAAGTTGTGCTCTTAAATGCACAACCCAGCTCAGTTCAGGTAATCTTTTGACTGTAATTTAGGCTGCTGACTTAGACAAAATAATGAGCTCCTGTTTAGAATGTTTCAATCACAAACAAGCCTTACTCCAATTTTTGGTAGGTGATATGAGCATACTTATATGTTATGGGACTCTCACAGCTTTTTGCCTTCCCTTGCCACCTTTTCAAGTTATGTGTCACAAAACAGCACAGTAACTTTTCATCCACACAGCATTGTACTTGCTGCCTTAATGGTATCATCACAACCTCTTAGGCTGGCTAGCTGCCCACAGTCAGCAGTCCTTGCAGCTAACTCCTTGCTGCTAGCAATTAGCATCACCTATTGCCCACAAACTATGAATGGTCCCCTAAAAATATGCAAATACAAGAGTTTGTTAGAGGAGCACTTCTGCTCACTGTTAAGTACTCACTCAGTAGCCTTGGAATACAACAAGATAATTTCTTGTCACATTTAAGATCACAGAATATTTGTACCTTCATTGAAAGAAAAGGAAGAAAATAGAAGGTCCCAGCTACTCTGGCTCTGTCACATACAAGGATGCTTAATTTGAATGGGAAATCTAACTTCTAGAAAGGAAATTCTTGTGTAAGGAAAGATTTGTAAAAAGCCCTTTAGCAAATAGGCTTCCATTGCTTTTTTGATGGAATTCAGATTCCTCTGGATACCATTAGAAATCTTTGCCTGTTGTTGATGCCTAGATGATTGTAGTAATGATCAAAAGGTCAAATCTATGGAGCACCTGGTAGAAAACTTAAGATCAACCACTAGCTGCCATATAGCCTCGCTATAGAAAAAATATCTGGTATGTTCTACAACTCATCTTGTCTCCATCTCCAGCTCCTGAGACATGCCTGAAATTTATTTATGTTCCACAGGTCACATTTCCCAGAATCAGTCTAATTATTGCCTAATCCAGACTTTCATGCTGTTTGTGTCCCCTTCCTTCCTCTACAATGCACAAATAGAGGAAAAGAAGATGATGCTCCAGACCAGAAGGGTTCCCTCTCCTCTCAGTAGCAGTGCAAGCCGGTGGGGAAGATGCAGGTTACAGGCATGGCATGAAAAGGGAAAATGTGGATCTCATGGCTCAAGTTGGTGATAGTTATCTACAAATGTAAAGGTAGATTTATCCTGTGCCACTTAGAAGCTCTACTTATTTATTCAAAATTGTATTTAGCACGTGGCTGCCTCGTCCACTGCTACCCACCTGCTGCCCAGTACCCAGTGTACTGAGCTCTGGGGAAAATGTGAGGTGGTTTGGCTCTTGATGGAAAAGGAGTTATCAGAAAATGAGTTACCATCTCTGCCTGAGCTGCTCACTGTGGGATAGGAATACGTACACAGACACCACAGAGCAATCCACAGGCTGTTATTTCATACAGACCTTATCTCACTCTGTCATTTTTCCACTTGTCAGGCTCTATAGAAACTGTCTTATTGAAAGTTAATAGAATGCTGGTTTTTAAAGCTCCATGTCTACAGCACTTCCAAAAATTTTCCCATGAGCAGCAATATTCAGGATCTGTGGATCTGCTGCAACTGCTCCATTTTATTAAAATGTGGTGATGCCTGAAAAATTTTGAAGTATCTTGGCAAAAATGGCTATGAGACCCCCTTTATCTTAACAGCAAGAACATCCCAATCTCCTTTTTTATTTTAATTTGTTTAAAAATTCTACTCTAGGAGAACACTTGCATATCATAAACCCTGTTTTGCTAGAAATTCAGCCAGGGACAGAGCAGAAGTGAGTTCCTTTGCTTCCAGTATATTTCTCCTGTGATGGAAGATGATCTCTCAGCATGCTTTTATGGGTTTAATTCTACTTATCCTGCTCATAAACACACACACACAAATACCATTCCTCCTCAGAGCAATTTGTTTCCTTACATATTGTAATAATTTATCTGTCTGCTTCCTGCCAATTGGTGCATAGGCAAAAATATTTGATAGCTCACAACAGATTGTTTTCAGAAGTATTAATTTCATCAATCAGTCCTTTAACAGTGAAAATTAAATCATGTGCTCCAGTTCTCTGTGTTTTCCTTCTCTTTCTTTTTAAGTGGAAGATAATGCCAGAGCGGAAGAGCTATCAAAATATTTTCTATAGACGGACTCTCTGGGCCATAGGGTCTTTTTCATGTATTCCCTCTGAAAGGTCTGAATGTGGAATTTAGACTTGAGTTTGGCTATTACTCAGAACAGACCTATATTTGGAAGAAATGAGAGACCTGATGGATTTGTTTTGCCCAAGGCCTCACACTTTCTTTGGAGGGACTCCAGGCCCGCCCACACATCCTTGTCTTTTCCAGGTCCTGTAGCAAGGAGAGAAAAAGAAACCATTTTGGAGCCAGATTCTCCCACCCTTACACATGCTGAGTAGCACCCAGCCTCTCCAGCAATCCCAGCGACAGCACTGAGCCTGTTTAAGGTGCTGCACACAGGAAATTTTATCAGCAAGATTATCAAAACCACTGTGGGTGTAGTTGCTTTTTCCTCGCCTTAGTGATGGTCAGCTGGCACACAGGACTAGGGCAGGCTGCAGTGAAACTTGGTGAAGCTGCAGAACTAATGGATTTGGCTACCTGAACTTTTAAGATGAGTAAATATTTTTCCAAAGGATGTGAATCTTTCCCTCCTTGCTCAGGCAGAACCTACCCCAGGCTAGCCATGCTTGACACTCCCCTCCGAGAAGGTCCAAATTCTTTTCTTTTGATTCAGTGTAGTGACAAAACAAAAGCCTTCAGGGTTACATCCTTAGGAGTTTCACTGGTCATTTTCTGCTCTTCCAATAGTCATTCTTTCATTTCCTCACAGAAGCCAACAAGTACCTCATCCTCCTGTCAGTCTAAGGCAGCAGTGATGGGAAAGGCAGCGATGGGGCCTCCCGATGAAAATAATGGCACAGAGGAAAAAGCACCAACCAGTAAAAATATGTCTTTTTGTCAGTTTGCATTTCAGCAGTTTCACATTAATCTTGCACAAAAAAGGTTCCATAGCCAAGTAAAACACATCTTGTGACTTGAAACTGAACTGATGAACTCCCCATGGGCCCTTTGCTTATCCCGATAAACTTATTTTTCCTAGATGGAGTGCATTTAGAACCAAATAGTGTATGTTATTAAATCTGTATTGTGCTCTTCAGTTATACATGGGAGAGTTAGTAAATTCAGTTTGTGGGTTTGGGTTTGTTTTGTTTTTTGGCTAACCAAGTCTGTCCTCTACCAATTTTGGTCCACCTTCAAGCCTCCAGCTGCTTCACTGCTTCCCTGCAGATTTGCTAGTGATGCCAAGGGTACCACTGTGTTAGGAGAATACACAGTTATGCAATTTGGGGAATTTGGCAGGACAGCAAGGGGAAATTTAGGCTGGCCTCCCACCCACTCCCATGAGACATAGTACTGTATTACAAGGCAGAGCTGTCATCCTCAGAAAGACCTTCTCAATCACTTCCCTCTGGTTCCCTTAGCATTTTGATCTTTGTACTACCTGGTGAATATAAACCCTTCTTAACCACTTCAAGAAAGGCTAGGGTGAGGGGATAACGTGAAGGAGGGGTGAGTAGAGGAAAAAAAAAAAAAAAAAAAGAAAGAAAAAAGAAAAAGGCCTTCCAAGAAAGGAAACCTCATTACCCTCAGTCTTCTTTGTCTCTGCTGAGCCATGAAGAAAGAAGAAAACAAATCAAGCTTCCATGGAAAAGATAGTGTGTTCCCAAAGAAATCTACATCACTAAATTCTTCCATGTACAACTTCAGGCCTGAAGATCTCCTTACAGCCATCCTGAAATGCCACAACTCCCCCAGTGAATCATAGCCACCAATTCACTGTGCACAGAAGTGTTACACGACTTCTGGAGTCAGGAAATTAAGCTACCAGGAAAAACTCTGCAGCAGCTTTGCCTTACACACCTACTGCAAAAACAGAAGGTCCTCCAGAGCCTGCTTCCTTAGATATCCTACAGTATGGAGAAATTCCAGTTGGCACAGAAACAGAGGGGTACAGACTCACATCCCCAGTAATCTCAGCCACCACTAATCAGGAGTTTATACGTGGGCTTCAAGATTTAGTCAGAGGACATTACTTTGCAGCATTCTTCAGCTAGCGCATGATCAGAGGTTGGCAGAAAGGATTGTTGGCTGCATCATATTAAATATACATTAGGTTTGGGTAAAGCTGGTGGCTGAGGCCCAAAGGGAAAGCAAATCTCTGGCACCCTCTCCCACCACACAAACTCCCCAGGGGAAAGAAAGGCAGACTAGAAAAGGAGCAGAAAGGCTGACAACTGGCAGAGCAAAGGCATGAGGAACAGAAAGGACCCGTAGATATGCCTGAAACATGCATAGGCTGTTTCATTATATTTGAGAAACATTTCTGTCTGAACAGGAGCTTTTTAGCTGAGACAGGGACATTCAGACTAGATATCTGAAAGATTTGTTCCCTGCTAGGGTGGTCAGACATAGAAGGAGGCTGCCCAGGAAGGTGATGGAGTCACTGTCCCTGGAGGTGTTTGGAGTGTCTGGATCTGGCACTGGGGGATGTGGTTTAATCATACAGGAGTTGCAATGGCAGTGCTGCCTAAACAGTGGGACTAGACTTTGATGGTATCTTCCAACCTTAACAATTCTATGATTCTACAATTCTGTGAAAGCTAAACCTGACAAGGCCTTGCAAGACACAGGAGTCTTAAATTTGGAGTGAAGGCTGCCTTAGGAAGGAAAAGGGAGCAGCTGGCCAAGCCCTGCCCTCTCAGCAGATGGTAAAATTAATGTAACTGTATCCTAGGTGCTGTCTTTTACCCTGATTAATCATTTTCTCAAGAGCTTTTTTATTTGCATTAGTTTAAAATGTTATTTATTGATGCCTTTGGTTTGTGCTTGCAAACGGGTAAAATTAGCTCATTAAACATGAGAAAGTTCAAGATTATTTTCTCAAGGTTTCGGGTGAAGCTTGAACACATGGACAGTCTTAAACATAAACCTGGGCCTTGATGAGGCAATTAAGACCTGGCAAAATGGTTACACTTGGGCAAAGAAGGTGGCAGCTACTCTCTGATGTATCCAAAACAAATCTCTACTCCCATCCACAACCAGTGGTGTTCATCTTCAAGGTACATCTTTCACAGCATTAACTGTGATAGACTGAACATAAACATCTAAATATAAAACATAACACCTAACACTTGTCATGTACAAGTGTTACCAGAAGAATCCTGCCTTAAAACAATTTTGGATGCCGTTTACAATGGCGTGTTCTGTTTCAGGAGTTTGGGCATGGCAGGCAATAAAACAGGAAGTGCTGCTGACTTTAGTGAAGCCAGTCTGACTGATCTCACTTGCAGACTCAGATTCAGCAGCTAAATTTCTGTTGAGCAGGCTAATAGCTAAAATGTGGAAGTAAAAATAGAGGATCCATTTACAGTCATATCACTGTGCAGATTTAGTAGTTTCCTATTATATTTACTGAGAAAAAAACCCTCAACTGTCACTATTATGAAATATTTCTTGAAGTGGTAGACTGCAGATTTTAGATACTCTGCTATAAACAGACAACTGAAATGAATTCATAGAAGGAAAATATCAATCAATCTGTTAATTGACAATGCTGTCTTTCAATAATATCTCACAAGATGACACAGACCATCAATGTGTTTTGTACAAGGCTGTTAGGAACAGTCTTAATAGAACCTGTAAAATAAAAAAAAAAAAAGAAAAAAGAAAAAAAGAAAAAAAGAAAAAAGCCTGTTTTTAAGTATTTCCTGAATGAATCCCAAAACTGATGGGTTAGAAATGGAATGTGTGTTGGATGATGATATGAATTTTGTACAGTGTTTAATTCTTTTACTTCAGACATTTCAATTTGGTTCTGACTTTTGAATTAGTTCATATTTCTTGGTTTAACTCTGAGTAAACAAAATTATTTGACTCTATTTCTGTGTCTCTGGTGTCTTACAAAGGCAGGCTTTGCAAGTGAATTTGAGGTTTAGCCCCTTTGTGAAATGCTGTGTGAGCTGCAGGGAGGATGGGGAGGAAGGAGTGTTGTAAATGAAACTTGCTAGCCACTGTTGCTTAGTAACTTTCCCCCAATTATAATCCTTATCCTTGGGCAGAAAACAAATTAAAGGTCACCAGAGTGGGTTTTCTGTGACAAATGTGTCATCCAACATTGCTATCATGTGCATACACAGTTTGGGAATAATTCCAGCCCATCCCTAATGTGGTACTGGCCTTCTGATGATATTGGCTGTCTTGGCAATTTCTCTGTACTTTGTGATACATCATTAATTTCTGTGCTGCTATATTACTCTGATAAATGGAGCTAAAGTTAGATTAAGAAAAGAAAAAATTCATGGATAAAATTGACTTCCTATTGCCTTGACATCTCTGTTTGTCCAAGAGCTAGACTGAAAACATGAAGCAAAGAAGCAATGATGTCATTGCACAGAAAGTTAGAGAACACATCACTCTTTACTGCTTAAATGGAAAAGATGGGCTCTACAAAGAATTTCCTAATGAACTTCTGCAAATTCTTCCTCATATTCTAGAAGTTTACCAAAGCCTTAGGGTGTTGACTAACAGCTGAAGACACTAAAATTATTACAGAGGACTGTGGGGCCCTGTATGATTCATACCAGCGGCTTAGTTCTGTATTAAGCTGATAAAAAGTGGTATTACAACAGAATTTCAGAAGAGCTGTCTTAGGCTATGCTAATGGTGTGCTATGTTGCCTGAGAATTTAGGCAAGGAAGTTCAGGTCTTTTGCTTTCTAATATAACAATTTTGATATTGCGAAATCCTGTTTATATTTGTGTGCAACACAGAGAGAGATAAATTGTGTCCTTTAGGAAACATGGAGCAAGAGGAAATATTTTTTTACATAAGAGCAGCACTCATATAAGTGAGGAAGAAGGTGCTCATGTAGCTGTTCAACAAAAACCACCGAGAGCTGTTTTACTCTGAATTCCTCCTACAACACCATCATAGTCTTCTGCTAGCAACTTCTCTGCAGAGAAACAGGTTCAGCATTTGTCACATTAACAGACTTCCACCCTCAGCAAAGGAGTTATTTTGAGCATGACATGAAAATCTTTCACTAACAAGATCTCGGTAGATGAAATTAGCACATCCTCAAGATGTGTCCTACACAACCTGTTACTCCACAGCAGCTCTGCTGTTTCACACCATTGGTCAGTGGAAGAGAAAAGCAAAAGAACAGCAGGTGGTAAAAAATGGGAGTTCTGAACAGCAATTTTGCTGTGCTTGGAGTAGAGTGAAGTGTGTGTGATCTATTCCTGAATTAAAGGGCCACTCTGACACACAGCTGGAGTGGAAGAGTGCCTGCAGTGCATATTCTGTTCTTCATTCCTCAGGCATATCCTGTGCTTATGCCACATGAAAAAATAATATATACTTTGGTCTTGTCCATGTCCTTGCTGGACAAGCTGGGGACAGAGATGAGTTGTGATGCTTCAATAAGTTTCCTTGGGCAACAGGAGAAGTAGGGCACAGAAAACTGCTGAAAAGAGCATGAGCACTCACTCATGTCCCACAGTAACTGTGGGCTGAATGTTATCCTGAAAGCAGAATCAAAAGATAGAAATGGTTTTTGTCTCTGCCAAAAAGGGAAAATGAAGTTGTACACAGAAGCATTGCTCCTATCAGAACTGTGCCTGGAATAATATATGTGTTACTGTACAGAATCACAGAGTTTGGAAGGGACCTCTGCAGATTGTCAACTCCAACACCCTACACAGAGAGGGTCAACTAGAGCATGTTGCTCAGTATTGTGTATCAGCATTGAATATCTCCAAGGATAGAGACTACACAAACTCTCAGGGAAGCATGTTTTAGCATTTGACCATTCACAATAATTAAAAAAAAAAAGCTTTTAAAATTTAAAAGAAATTTCAGGTATTTAATTTTTGTGCCCATTGTCTTGACTTTTCAGGGGATACTGCTGAGAAGAGTATCTATCCTTTTTACTGTCTCCATCAGATATTTATACAGATTGTTCAGATCTCACAGAGCCTTCTCTTTCCCAGGCTCAAAACAGACCCAGTTTTCTCAGTGTCTTCCTGTACATCACATGCTCCAGTCCATGGATAATGCTCGTGTTCCTTCATTAGACTTGCTCCTCCATGTTTTTGTCTCATCCTTGTGGCTGTGGCACTGCAGACATTGTTCCAACACTGCTGAGCACAAAGGAGAGTTCGCCTGACTCCTTGTGCTGCATCTTTCTGCCATCCAGGATGCTGTTGGCCACCTTTGCTTTGAGGGCAGATTCCTGCCTCGTGGTCAGTTTGCTGTCCCCCAGCACTCACAGACCACCAGGTTCTTTCTGCCAAGCCACTTTGCAGCTGGTGGATCTCCCTGGTCTGTACTGGAGCCTGGAGCTAATCATCATCAGGTGCACTGTTTCACCAAGATTCTGGATGTCCCATATACCCAGCCAAAAAGTCATCAGTCATTCCATGGTCTCAATCAGCAGCAAGCCTGCATCCCACTCCCCTGCTCCTTTCTTTTTCTTTTCCTGTAAATA